TCACAGATCTTTTATGCTGACATTACTTATTAAGTAAAGTATGAAGAGCAATAGGCAGAGTTTGTGCTTCTTGCAGGATCCAGTGTTATCTTCCTTATGCCTCTGATTTCCTCAAAAATTGATCTTCTCTAGATAGCAGAAAAGCATAAGCTCCAGCCCACAGAGGACGTAGAAATAAAATCTATGCTATATGCGAGCCAAATTGAGTTGAGCCAGGGGCACTGCGTGTCCTCAGAGTAAAGAAACAGTTCTCTATTATCTAAGCGCTCTGTGGCTGTCACTGCTGTCTGCACAGCTGAATCAAAGTTTGCATTGCAGATTAAAGTTCCAGGCCTGTAGCACAGTGATGAAACGGAACACAGAGTTCCTGAGGGTGTGTGGGGGGAGGGATAAAAGTGAGGTGAACCCTGCTGTACCTCCTCCATCCAATGTAGGCCATTCTATCATGCATCCAAAACCAACTCAATCCCTTCACTCTTTGGGGGGGCTCTCCATTTGTTCCACCTCTACTTTCTCATATCAAACATTATTTGGTACAACTCTATTTATTCCCTGTGTAACCTAGACATCAGGTGGGCCTAGGGTCACTCTTAGCTAGACTTCAACCCTACCAATCGACAGCCTTAAAAGTCCACAGATACCCTGTAGCTGTTTGTTCATTCCCAAGGATTTATACTCTGTTCCACAATGTCCTCTATTCACCATTCTCTGTACATTATGCTTTTCCTGTAAGTTAATCACAAAGAAACCACTTTCATATGAAAGACTCATTAAAGAATTTCCCCTTTTTTTTTTTTTTTTTTCAGTACTGGGGATCGAACTCACGACCTTGTGCTTGCCAGGCAGGCGCTTATGCCACTGAGCTATATCCCCAGCCCAAGAATTTCCCTTTTTGTTAAAGACAGCACATGGCTGACAGCAGGAAGTGATACTATCCAGTTCCACAAAGGAACAATCTAATAAGTTCATATTAAGTTTTTTTCTAAGTCCCTCTCCCAGTGAGAGATCACACTTCTGCCTATGCAGTCCCTCACCCTGCTACTTTGCTCTTCCCTATCTCTCCTACATCTTATACTCGCTGTGTGTCTGGTGCTAGAGATTGAACCCAGGGCCTCACACATGCTAGGCAAGTGCTTTGCTGCTGAACTACAACCCCAGCCCTAATATTCTCCATTTTAATGGATCAGTTCTGCTCTCCCTAACCCATTCCCCAATATGTATACTTAAATATGCCCTAATTTGGAGAACTGTGTTTTATCAACACAATCTAACCCCTTAAAAGAGAAGTTAGTTATAAATGGCAATACGGTATGCTTTTGTTTTCTTTGAGATTTTAAAATCACTTTATTAAGGTATGACTGACATAGAAGAAGCTTTAGGCATTTAATGTATACGGCTTGACGGATTTGGAGCTAAGTATACATCTATAAAACTATTATCACAATCAATGACATTAACTCATCTAGTACCTCCAAATACTTATTAGTCCCTTCATTTTTTTTTTTTTTTATAGTTTTGTTGATTTTCTTTCTCCTTCTGTGGCAAAAGCCCTTAAATTAGATCTAGCTTCATTGTAAATTTTAAGTGGTATGCAACATGGTATTGTTAATCCTGTGCCTTTCATTGTACAGAACATCTACAGAACTTACTTATTTTCATGATTGAAACTTGGTATCTTTTGACCAATACCTCCCCATTTCCCTCTCCCTCCAACCCTTGGTAACTGCCAGTGTGCTTTCAGCTTATGTCAATTTTACTATTTTAGATTCCACATATCCAGTAAGAGATACCATACAATATTTATCTTTCTGGACTCTATTTTATTTCACTTTGCATATCATTACAAATGACATCATTTACTTCTTTTTTAAGGCTGGACAATATCCTGCGTATGGATGTGTAATGTTTTCTTTATCCATTCATCTGTGATGAACATTTAGTTTGTTCTCCATCTCTTAGTTGTGGCCATAAACATGGAAGTGCAGGTAGCTCTTCAAGATACTGGGTTCATTTCCTTTGGCTATATACTTAGAGTGGGATTGTTGGATCACACGGTAGCTCTATTTTTAATTGTTTGAGGAACATTCATACTGTTATCCATACTGCTATATCAATTTACATTCTCAGGACTGGTATACAAGGAGTCTCATTTCTCCAACACTTGTTGCCCTGAGATATTATTGCATTGTTTTCAACCATTTCAATCTTTTTACTATCAAGAATTGTGAAAAGCCTACTTGTAAGCTAGCAATTTAGCCTGCTATAATCTCAGAGAGGCTGGGAAGATATGACACTCTTGGTGTCGGTGACAAAGGACTTTGTTATCCATAATACAGAAGCATCTAGTCTTAGGGGAGGATCTAGGAGAAATGTTCCTCTGAATGTTCTGCTTTTCTCTTTGTACAGGATGAAAATCATGCAGTCACTGGCTTAGATGATGACTTTCAAAAACAAAACAACAGCACAGGTTAACAACACAGAAATAGGCATTGTGTGGTCTTCTCATTAGCTCTTTCAGACATTATTTGAAATCTTTTGTTGTGATGAATGTACTGCTCCATTAGCTAGTCATATACATAGGTAAAATGATAGGACCAGGCACAGTATGTTGAAGAGCCCTACAAACATGCGAGCTTTTTATTTTAAACTCCATTAACCTGGAATTCCTGGGGCTGATCATGATGATCGGAAATATCCTTAAAAGGCACATAGTAGCAATAGACACACCTCTGGTCATTTTATGAACATTAAACATAGAAAAAAAATTATTAAATAAACTTAAGTTTACATCAATTTGGGAGCATAGTCATATGGAAAAAAAAGTTCAAGCGATTTTACTGTTTTTGCTTTTGAGACAGTTTCACTACATAGTTTAAGCTGGTCTTGAACTCACAAGATAACCCAGGCCTCAAATTTCTGAAGAACCATCTGCCTCAGCCTCCCAAGTGTTGGAATTATAGGTACAAGCCACCATGCTCAGCTCTTTTAAAGGACTTTAAAACAGTATTTTAAGAAAAGAAAGAAGGGAAAAGAAAGAAATATACATATACAAGATAGCTAAGATAATTATACTAATTTCTATTAGTAGTATTTCTATACTTCTAGTAGTATTGGTAGTATTTCTATACAACTAATTTGTAAAAGAACGGTTGTGCTTACATTGTTTGATCAATTTTGCATACCTATATCTTGTAATCCAAGCAACTACTTTGAAGGCGACAATATGCAATATATTAGCCATTGTTAATTTCTTATTATCTTCTTTTGAAATTCTGTATCATTGTTTTTATTGTTTTTCTCTTTAAAATAAAAAACAAAAACAAAAGCCCACAAACCCCAGTATTTTACCTATACATCCCAAGTTGGAAATCCCTTAAGGGCAAAAGGAATCATACATGTTAAGCAACTGTTCCTAACGCCCGTGGCTGGGAATAGAGCTTAGCGGCACAGCAACTGCTCGGCAAGCGCAAGGTCCTAAATTCCTTTTTTGTTTGTTTGTTTGTTTGTTTTCCGGTACCGGGAATTGAACTCAGGACCTTGTGCTTGCCAGGCAGGCGCTTTTGCCACTGAGCTAAATCCCCAGCCCCAAAGTCCGAAATTCGATTCCCAGTACCAAAAAAAAAAAGGAATCCTGCTGGTCATTTTGAAACTATTATACGTATGTATGACATTTTTATTACATAGTTTATGTAATTAAACACGATTTAGAAATGTAATATCTTAAAATATAACAAATACTATGTAATTATATACATAGGCACATACATACATATCCCAAAATATGGTTAAACAAATAAATGATTATGTTAATGTCATTAAAAACTAAGTTTTTCCTTCCAGGGATAGAAAAAAGAAACAGAGAAACCCAAAATATAAATAAATTAAGGTGCAACACAAAAGACAATAAGAAACAGGGAGACAGATCTTTCGCAAAAGGGAAGGTAATAAAGAGGTGGTGGGGAGATAGAAGCGGAAGGGGACAAAAAAGAATTAAGATGTGTTAAGTACATGTTCTGACTCCACGATGAACGTAATCATTACGTACTGCAAACGTGGACTGACAAAAATTAAAGTACAAAAACAAAACATAGTAAATTGAAAATTCTATTAGCTCTGATTTGAATTGCCATAGTTAACGTAAATTAATGATTAGAAATGTCAATATGAGAAGAGTTCTGAAATGTACATTTTTCTCCCACTACCGACCGCATAGCCCAGGACCAGAGATAACCTGCCCCGCGTTGTCGCCACTGACACCACACACTCAAAGGGGCCAGCGCTTCTGGAAGAGATGAAGAAACGTCTGCTCTAGGGCAGTTCAGGATGAGCCTGGAATACCTGTTCACGTCTGAAACGTGGGGAGGCAGGAAAGGGGTAAAATTCTGTAGAGAGGCGAGAAGGGAACAGAAACAGCACGCCCGAGAAATGGCACGACACGGAAAAGTGAGCGTGTTCGGGCAGCTCTCATTTTCCAGGGATGAAGGAAGGCACGCGGGCAGAGCTCGGACGGGCCTGGAACGCTAGGAACAAAGCAGCTCGCCCCTTCTCTGGGGCTCCGCACAAATCAGGTTCACTCACTCCTCCTCCCACACAAAGGCGCTGGGAGGCAGCCCGCGGAACCCAGGTGGGTCAAGCCAAAGCCTGCACAGCGTTGGAGCCTTCCACGACTTCCTGCCTGACCCGTGACACACACAGAGGCCATCACTCAGACTCACTGAGAACCGGCTTCGCCGCATCCCACTCCCGTCCTCATTGGTGAGCAACAACTGCTAGTCTCAGTCGTTGTCAGTGGCAACGGAGGCGGGCATAGTTTTGGTAGCTAGGATACACATTGCATTTCCGCTTCCTTTCCCCCACCGTAGACTCCGGCAAGCCAATCTTGTTCGTTTGACCAATGGGAAATGGGAAGTAGGCGGGACTTCGTGTGTCTGGACCAAAGAGACGCGGTCTTTTGGCCGTCCAGCCCCTGTGAAGTGGCTCGGGCGCCCCCAAGGCTGCCTTTCCTCCTCCTCGTCCTGCCCCGCCCTAACCCCGCTTCAGCACAGCGCTGGCCGCAGTCTGACAGGAACAGGACGGAGCCAAGATGGCGGCGGCCGACGGCGATGACTCGCTCTACCCTATTGCGGTGCTTATAGATGAGCTCCGCAACGAGGATGTTCAGGTGCGGGGACTGCGGGGGATCTGAGAAGGACGGGGAAGAGGGGCGCGGGGGCTCGTGCGGCCGTGGCAGAGAGGGCTCCGTGTTTGCAGGGAGTGGCGGAAGGGGCGAGGACCAATCAGCGTCCAGCTCTCATTTTTCCAGGTCACCAGGCTCGATGAGATGAGGCCCCGGATTGGGTGCCGTCTCAGCGGAGGGCGGGGGCAGGGCGAGCCTCGAGGGTCCGGATCCTGCAAAGTGCGCGCGGCGGCGGGGATCTGGGACGCGGGCCCTTAGGGGGCTCGGCGAGGCGATGCGGGAGCAGAGGTCTCGATAACAGGCGGCGGGCTCCGAGTGACCCTTGGCAAATGCGCAGGCGCGTGACTTGCCCCGAGATGGGGAGGGGTCGATTGGTTGGTGAGGACCCGCGTTGCTGTTGCATTTTTTGCGTTTTTGCAGCAGAGCCAGGTGGAGACCGAGAGGCGAAGGCCGCCGTCCTGGGTCCTGCTCTCCACCCGCCTATACTTTGTGTAGATCTCCCAAGAGGAAGGAGGCGTGAAAACTCCCCTCTCGAGGGCAGAATTGGCCAAAACTAGGGGTGAATTGTGCTGCTCACCCCCCGCACACAGACACACGCACACACGCACACGCGCACGCACACACACTGCAGTTTGCGGAGCGGGCCAGGATTTCTGGTGGTGGGATCGCATGGCCCTGAAGCGGCCCGGCTGGCGTGGGTTTGAGAAGAGTTCAGACAGCAGGTCCACCTCCCACCGCGGTGTGACCTTGTGCTCGTTATTTCATCGTCCCGGGCGTCTGTTTTCCATGAAATACGGGCTAAGAATAGTCCAGGCTTCACTGGGCGGGGTGAGAAATCGAACAAGCAAAACACGATGGAGTCTGGCCGCATGGAAGGGCCCCGTAACATATTAGCTCTAATTATTGAGAGTGTCAGTTGGAAAGGTCCCATCCTTCCTTCAGGCCTTAGTTTCTCCCTTTATAAAATTGTTTGGGCCACACTTGTAAACCTGCTGAGCCCGGGCCCCGCCTACTAACTTGTGAGTCTGACTTGGGTTCTGGTCTCAGAGCGGTTGCAGCTGTACTCCTGGCTCTTCCACTTCTTGCTGATGGATGTGGGCACGCTATTTTCTTTAAACCTTGGCTCCCTTTTCTCAAATGAGGATAACTACGTAGTTCGTAGGACCGTTGTGTGAATTTATTTGTTCAGTAAATACTTGCCATGATGGGTGTGGCGCTGTGCAAGGACGGGTGCCAGGTAATCAGTGCTAAATATATAGTCTTAACACCTGTAAGAATTATTGGGAAGGAACCCAATGGGATGTTGGGACAGTACATGAGCAAATACTTACTAGGCCTCTACTCTGGGCTCTGTCCAAGGCACAGGAGCAAGACGGGGATTTCCCGTGTAGTGAAGGGAGACAGAAAATGAACAAGACACTGGGTAGAATATATTGTGAGAGGGTTAAAGTTAGGGAGATAAATAAGTCCCAAAGGCAGCACAGTTGTGTTTTCTAGAGAGAGCTCTTGGAGGTCTATGTGCTAAAATCAAGGTGTGGCGAAGGCCGAGTTCCTTTCTGGAAGCTCTAGGGAGAAAATCTGTCTTCCTGCCTTTTCCAGCTTTTAGAGGCCTCCACATTCTTTGGTTCATGGCTCCTTTCTCTACCTTCAAAGCATCTGTTTTCCTGGTCACATCGCCTGAACAGTCAGGAGGATCCGTGTGGTTACTTTGGACGCACACAGATAAGCCAGCGTCATCTCCCCTTCTCAGGGTCCTTCCTTCACCGAGGTCTCCTCTGCAGATTTGTTTTGCCATGTAAGGTAGATACTCATGTTCGGAGGATGAGAACATGCGTATCTTTGGGGACATCAGTCATCCAGTCTCAGGTGCTGTGATTGGAAAGTAGAGACTGAGGGGGAAAGTCATAGAAGGTTGAGGATAGTGAAGTGTCTTGTTTTACTTTAAAGTAATGTGACTTTCTTTTTGTTTATTTTATTGCTTATAATGTTATTGCATTGAGGTCAGTGAAGGGACACTTACTCCACAAATATTTAAGGAGTGCCAGCTGTATGTTGGGCATCGATCTGGATGCTGGGGCAATGACAGTGCACCAAAGGCAACGGTCTGCCTCTGCGTAACTCACCTTCTCGAGCAGACAGTGTGGAAGACGGCAGGTGGTGCACGCGCTCTGGAGAACAGTGAGGCGAGGGTGGGGCCGGGGAAGACTGGCGAGTGTGCCACGGTTTGAGAGAGGGTGGTTGGGCAGTGAAACCCTTACTGAGGAGGTGGTGTGCAAGCGGAGAGAAGGGCGCGGGCCTGGCGAATCCCATTCTAGGCCGGGAAATAAGCGTGAAGGTCATAGGCAGGGTTATGTAGTGCGGATTCCGGAAGAGGAAGGAAGGCCACAGGAGCAGGGAGTGAGTTGTGTGTAGTGGGAAATGAAATCGAAGCGGAAGCCAAGGCCAGACCGGTGAGCCATCATTTTAACCAGCGGTTGGCGAACAGCTGCCTGCCCTATGCTTGCTTTTTAAATAAAGTTGTGTTTTGTTTCTGTTTTTGTTTTTAATTCAGACGCTGCTCTTGTGCTGCAAAGTAACTTAGACTTGACTAGTTCTAACAGAGTGGTTTGGCCCTCAAAGCCTCCAAAGTGTACTTCCTGGCATTTTGTCTCGCCTACCTTCTGCTCCCCCAAGAGGGCAACGGCTGACTTAAACCATCTGTGTCAAATTACTGGGTTCTTGCTCTACACAAGGCACTATACTATACAGAGGCAGAACTTTTGTTCCCTTAAAGTCTTACGACTTCGAAGGAGGTTCTGTGCTCCTCCACGCTTTTCCAGATGCAGAAACTGAAGTGGAATAAGGGTAAAGTTGGCCAGCACTTTGATGCTGAGATGTGGAGGAACCAGGAAAGAAAATCAGAGGAAATAGTATCTGAGGATGGACTAGAGTTTGGAGTGGGACAAACACTTGCTAACTGTACCCATTTTCCAGATATTGGTCTTTAATAAGACTTGAAAATACTAGCGAGAACGTGAGCTGTGAGAACCCGTAGTTGTGGTAGATGTATTCAGCAAGTGTTTATTGAATACATCCTATGTGCCAGCCTCTGTTTTAGGTCCTAGATAAGTACAGGGAGCAAAGCTGCATAGCTGCTGTCCTTGTGGAGTTTCTACTCGGGTGGGAGAGACAGACAGTAAGTAGATCTACAATGTTAAGTCAGGGGTGGTGACTGTTAAGAATAACAAGGCAGCAACAGGGCATGGGGTGAGCCTGGGGCTGATGTCTTCGGCGCTTAGGGATGGCTCCCTTGAGGAAAGGATGTTGAGCAAGCTGGGGAGAAGAGCAGTTCGGGCAAAAGAAAAGGTAGATACAAAGGCCACGGTGGTACCATGCTTGATATCCTCAAAGAGCAAAAAGGCCCATGTGGCTGAAACAGGGTGAATAGCAAAGGGGTGTGAGGTGAGGGCTAGGGTGAGACTAGCTTAGCTGAAGCCTGTGGGTCCCAGGCCAAGGGCTTTGGCAAGCCTGGGGCTGAGGGAGCCTTCGCAAGGCTTTGAGCAGAGGAGTGACTGTTCTGCTTTAATTCTAAAGGATCCCTTTGGGTGTTGTATAGGGGACAGGCAGGAGCTGCTAGCCTCAGTAAGAAGCTGTAGCAGTGTTAGCATGTAGACGGGGGAAGGTGGGCAGGTGTGTCAGAAAGGGCTGGTGGGAGGTGCAGGCAGGCTAGGTGTGGTGTGGCCGGTGATGTGAGGGAGGGGAGGGCTGACGGAGGCTTGATCCCAGCCTCGCCAGTTTGTCCCCTGTGTACCTTTGGAGGAGCAGCACCTTCATCTCTGGGCCCAGATTCCCCACCTGCAAATTTGGCATCTAATTGTGAAGATGCAGTAAAATCAGCAGGTTAAGTGGCTGCCTCAGAGTAGGCATTCAGCAAATGGTGAGTTGTTGCAGTCATCAGGAGAGCTGTGGGTTTTTATACTTGGAAAGTGAGATAGGGGTGGTGATGAGGAGCGTGGGTTTATTTCTCACATTTTACCATAGATTTACTGGTGCTTTCCTTGCCTAAGCTGTCCCAGCCAGCACACCTGCACAGTGCAGAGGCCAGATTGCCGTGTGCCAGGCAGGAGTGCTGGATACTGTCTCAGCTGGGCAGGGGGGCCCTGGGGTGGAGGCCGGTGATGTTGTGCAGTGTCCTACAGTACCCAGGTCAGCCCTACAGCCTCAGTGTCAGTAGCGCTGAGCTTGGGGGACCCCGCTCTGTCCTCCTGCACAGTGCTGAGCGTTTCATATGTATTAATTGCATTGTCACAGAATGCTTCTGAGGTAGGTATTTGTTTTCTTTCTGTTGACATTTTAATTGTCAGATTTCACACGTGTGCCAAAATAGAGAAAATAGTACCACACACCCCAATACAACATTTATGTTTTCAAAATTTTGCTACATATGTTTCATCTATATCTCCCCATCCCCCTCTCGCCTTTTTTGCTAAAGCATTTTAAAAATAAATCCCAGGCTTTGGACACTTTCTCCTGCATTATTCAGTACATACCTCTAACACAGTAGACAGGTTTTTCACCGCACTTCCTTATTATACCTAACAAAGTTAGTAGCAATCTCTTGGTAGCAGTCTAACAATCCATAATCATATTACCCTGATTCACAGGGAAAATGTCCATTTTACAGTTTGGTTTGGTTTAAATTCGATTCCAGATCTGGCCAGGAGTCTTCACACTGAAATCCTAACTGACAGATAAGTTGCTACTTAGTAGCAACTCCTACTACCAAGTAGGAGGCAAAATTAAAATTTAGCCAAGACACTGAGCTTTAATGGTACATCTTTACCCCGAGCTGTAGTCCTCTGTGGAGAGATCTCACCTGAGAAGTGACCCTGAAAAGGTAGGTCTGTGATGGAGGCAGACCAGGCTTCAGATTGTGGACTGGCCATTTTACAAGTTACTCGACCCTTTGGTACCCTGGTTTCTTGTGAAATGAAAAAACTGGGCGG